TAGTTTATTCTTTCTCAATACAACTTTGAAATTCACTTAATTTCAACGGTCACACTATAAGTTGAACAAACGCTATAATTCACAACAAACGACACACGCGCTCGACCCAACAATACGCAGTTCAATTACATTACATTGTTGCCGTCACTTCTTGGCTGCTTATATATACAAGAATACCACATATCTAGTAACCTCTCGAGACTTCAGGAAGGGACGTGAACGTTCGAGAATATGACGTGTTACTAGCGTCACGTGACCCCCGCTGTCGTAACAGTATTGTGAAAATATGTTATTCTTCAATTGTAACTGGCACAAATTATAGGTTGTACCTTACTGCAAACTTAGCCTTTAATTATCTCATCCTTAGGTAATCCAAAAAATTCGCATTAATCATATAGTATTTGTTTTTCTTTCAGAAACATGATTTTACAGTGGCCGTAAAGAGTATAACGAAGAAGAATCTGGCAAAATCACAAAACCTTCTGGCAAAAGAAATAAAAATATTGAAGGTTTGTGTTCTTGTTTACTATAATTGTAAAGAAATTAGTTGGATATTGTTTCTGTGTGTACGACGCGCATAAACTTTTTTTTTTCCTTCAGCTTTTTCCCCATTTCCAAGACTTTCGTTGTCCATTGCGCAAGGTTTCTGTTGTAATTTGTTCTTGTTACAAAAACAATGGTAGAAATATAATTTTAATGCCAAGTTTTATTTATATATAATATTGGAAAATTCAGTGGTGGATTTTATGTTATAAACATTGTCATGATTGTAGATCATTCATGATTTGGCCGTCTCGTGGGATATTTAATGGAGTGTTTCACGTGAACGAGGGGTGGAAGGATGGGGAAAGTTGGGTAAAAAATTGAATAATCTAGTCGCGCATTGTTTCTCAAACTTTTCAAGCTAGCGTACTACTTTTTGTTTAATATTTTTTGATAAAGAACTAGGCCTAAAAACCTACTAGCAAAATTTGATATTTTAAACACTAACACATGAATGAGAAGAATGTAATTGTTTTACTAGCACAAATGAAGGATATGTGGCTCAAATTTTTTTCACTTTTCAGAGAAGTTCAAAATGGACTGGTTTGATAATTATTAAATTAATTTTGTCGCGTACCAACGACATTAGCTCTAAGCACCACCAGTGAGTGGTACGCGTACTACAGTTTGAGAATCATTGATTTAGTGCACACTGAAAACTTCCCTTGAAAAAAAAAAAATCAAAAAATGGGCGTGGACTAGTAGTTAATACTCTCCACACTTGCTGTTATGGGCGCGTTATAAAAGTGACAGTCAATCCCCCTATTCGATTACGAGTAGCCATGTTGTTGGCGGGTGCTGCTGAGTGGATTGTCCTCCCTTTGGTCAACAGTTTTAAAATTAAAGCCAACTATTTTGAACTGTGGGGGTCGCAGTTAGATATTGTTAAAATATTAAAATATACTGTTACTATGGGTTGTTAAAACAGTCTAATAATCTGAACGATGCCACGTCTGCGTTAGCCATCCCTATTTTTTTTCTTTTGAAATTCTTAGACTAGAAAGAAAATTAACAACAACCACCGCCAACTCTTGGGGTACTCTAATCGAATAGTAGAGTTTTATCGTCATTCTTAAAACGAAACCACGACCCCAAAGTGAGGAGCGCGAGGTTTTTCTTTTAAGACAGATTTCCCGCAGTGGACACCGAAGATAGCCCAATGTGACTTTGATATAAAAGAAACAAAAAAAATATCTTGATTAATTAAAATTTTTAGAAAGTGGTCGAGAATTTTTTGATTGTTTTTTCGATGACTATTAAGCGACACTTTTCGCCCACTCGGACTTTAGTATGTGCTGTTATGCTCTACTGAGGTCGTTAACCGAAAATAAAGCGATAGAGGGAGCTGAGATAAGAGCAAAAGTATAACAACACAAAGCGTATAAATAAATAAAACTAGCTGTAACTGGTGTTCGATCGCAGTACCATCAACAGCTGTGGACTCGTTACTGCGTTTATTTATGACAGATGAAAATATCATTAATGCTAATAAAATGGCGACTAAAATGTGTATGTATGTATGCACGAATGCGGTTAACTTTGTTCGTGTAAAGATGTCTGTTTGTAAAATTTCGTTATTAAATATTAAGCATGTTATCGCTATTCTTTTAAAATCGTTTCTCTCAGTGCCCAACATTTCTTGTTCACATCTGTTTGTTATTTTTATGTTGGTTTATTTTCTAATATGAAAATTACGACGTGAAACTATCGCTGTTTAGATGTGTTTTTTTGAACAGTAGGCGGTAAAAACTGTTGGTCGTTTTTCTGAGAATTTTATTGATATAATTTGTCTTCTAATACGACGGGTCCATGTGTAACTATGACGGTCATTCTAGTGTGAGACATTCATCACGCGACTTCCGTTTCCATGGTAAACGAGTAAGGGATACTAAATCTAACTTAAATACGTTGCAAGATAGGTGTTACCATGTAGTTAAATACGTTGCAAGATAGGTGTCAGCATATAGTTAAATACGTTGCAAGATAGGTGTTACCATGTAGTTAAATACGTTGCAAGATAGGTATCAGC